AAAAAGGAAATAAAAGAAGGAAGGAGGCCTGGATTCAAATCCCAGACCTGCCACATTCTAGCTGTGTGACCTTGGGTAAGTCACTTTACCTCCCTGTGGCTCAATTTCATCTACAATGAGCTGCCGACACCTAGCAAAGGAGTATATCCAGTAAGCTTATTTGCTGCAATGTATTAAGGACCTACTATGTGTCAGGCATTGTCCATTATTACAGCTAGGCATCAGGCATTTCAGTCACACCCCTACTTGACACTCACCAACACATCCCAACACAAAAATGGGATGGACATATGACTCTGACGAAGCGGGTGGCCATTTCTGAGTTCTTGGCCTTTGTCTTAGTTAAGATGCTGGCCCATACAACAGAGGCCCTGCTAATGTTTTGTGGGTTTTGTTTGTTTGTTTCTGGAGACAGGGTCTTGCTCTGTTGTCCAAACTGGAGTGTAGCGGCACAGTCAGGGCTCACTGCAGCCTCAACCTCCCAGGCTCAAGCAATCCTCCCACCCCAGCCTACCTAGTCACTGGAATTACAGGCACACACCACCACGCCCAGCTAATTTTTGTATTTTTCTGTAGAGACAGGGTTTCCCCATCTTGCCCAGGCTGGTCTCAAACTCCTGGGCTCAGGTGATTCTCCTACCTTGGCCTCACAAAGTGGGGATTATAGGGGTGAGCCACCGTGCCTGGCCTAATTGTCTTAAATACACAAGGGTTGATTCCGTCACATAAAAGAAATCAGAATAGGCCAGTTAGGGCTGATGTGCCACTCCACAGTCTTCAGGGACCAGATTTCCCTCATGCTGCTTGTTCTGCCTTCCTTTGTGGGCTGACTCATGGCCCAGGATGGCTGCTCAAGCTCTGGCCACCTCATCTGAATTCCAGCCAGCAGGAAAGAGGACATGAGGGAAGAAGAGCACTCCTCCTCTTAAAGAGAATTCCAAGGAACACCACATCACACTACTGCTTCAACTCATGGGCCAAAACTAGTCACAGTGCTATTCTTAGCTTCAAGGAAGCCTGGGGAGTGTGCCCAGCTGTAAATTTGAGTCCTTGTGACTAAAGAAACGGGAGAGTGAGTTGTAGCCAGCACCTTGCAGTGTATTCTGTAGCTTTCTTTCCAATTTGGGGACTTTTCCAGGGAAAATCCTCACAGCCAACCTCTGGTGAAACTATCCTGTGTTCCCCTTTTTACAGCGGAGGAAATTGAGAGCCAGAGGGGTACAGGGGCCTGACCAAGGTATCACAGCTAGTGAGCAGCAGAGCCCTTCTGGGGTAGCCTAGAGCTGCAGGCATCGGCTGGGCACAGTGGCTCAGGCCTGTAATCCCAGCACTTTGGGAAGCTGAGGCAGCAGGATTTCTTGAGGCCAAGAGTTCAAGACCTGGGCAACATAGGAGACCCCATCTCTACAAAACATTTACAAATTAGCCAGGCATGGTAGCATGCATGTGTAATCCCAGCTACTCAGGAGGCTGAGGTGGGAGGATCACTAGAGCCCAGGAGGTCAAGGCTGCAGGGAGCTATGGTTGTACCACTGCACTCCAGCCTGGAGGAGAGAACCCATCTCTCTCTCTCTCTCTCTCTCTCTCTCTCTCTTTCTCTTCATTTTTCTTTTTTTCATGCTATTTTGACAAAAAGCCCATCCCTAAAAAAAAAAAAAAAAAAAAAAGCTGCCGGGCACAGTGACTCAGGCCTGTAATCCCAACACTTTGGGAGGCTAAGGCCGGTGGATCACTTGAGGCCGGGAGTTCGAGACCAGCCTGGCCAACATGGCAAAACCCCTTCTCTACTAAAGATACAAAAAATTACTGGCATGGTGGCACACGCCTATAATCCCAGCTACTCAGGAGGCTGAGGCAGGAAGATCGCTTGAACCCAGGAGGTGGAGGTTGCAGTGAGCCAAGATTGCGCCACGGTACTCCAGCCTGGGCAACAGAGCAAGACCATGTCTCAAAAAAAAAAAAAAAGCTTCAAGCAAAGAATGAGAGCTTCTACACCACCTTTCTGTTTATCAGGAGATTCCTTCCTGCCCCCAAAGGACCCAGATTTTTTAGAGAAACATCCTTTATCTTTATTTAATAAATTCTAAAACAGCTGTGAACATAGAGCCTTCCCACCCACTCTGGATTTGAGAGCCACTCAGGAATGGAGTCATGGGTTTGGTGACTGGTTGGCTGTGGATGCTCAGGGCAACGCTGAGGCCCAGAAGTTTGGCTGGAGGTCCCTGGGGAGGGCTGGGCTCCACACACCCACTGTGATGCTCACTCACTGTCTCCTGCAGGTCAGCGGCCACCTGGACTATGCCAAGCAGATGGACGCCATCCTGAAGGCTGTGGGCATCCGTACCAAGCCAGGCTGGGATGAGAAGGGGCTCTTGCTGGCCCCAGGCTGCCTGCCCCCCGAGGAGCCTCGCCAGGCAGCAGCTGCCGCCTCATCAGGAGATATCCCCCACCACGCTGGGCAAACCCAGGGTCCCACATCCGGAGACACCTCCAAATTGGCCATGTCCACAGACCCCAGCCAAGCCCAGGTGCAGGCAGGGCTGGACCAATCTGAAGGGGCCTCCCTTCCTGCTGCTGCCAGCCCTGAAAGCACCCCCATCTGCAGCCATGGCACGGACCCCAACCCACTGGGCTGCCCCGATTGTGCCTGCAAGACCCAGGACCCCAGCCCGGGGCTGGACTGACCACAGCAGGGGACCTGAGCCATCCTTCCCAATCTCTGTATGCAGCTCTCTCTCATACCCTCGGGTTCCTCCCAGGAGCTCTGGAGGTGCAGAATTTCCACCAGTCTCTTTCCTAAACTGAAGGAATTAGGACTGAAAGGGAAAGGAAATGGAAGGAAGGAGAATTTGGAAGAGAGAACACGCCCACCCTGGGGAAGCTGCCTATCCCCAGGGAAACCCCACCAGGGAGCAGCCGTCCCCTCATCAGACACCTGCAGAGTCAACCAAGCACGGCTTAGAGCCCCAGAACTGGAAGCCAGCTGTGGGCTTTCTGTGCTTCCTCTCATAGCTTTGGAGTCTGGCTGCCCATCAGGAGGTCCCGGGGGCTCTCTGGGACCTGAGGCTCCCACACCACCTCTCCCCTGGCCTCAGTAAAACCAGGTGTATGCCTGCTCTTCCATCCACACTCCAGCCCACCAGCTGACAGCCACCATCAACTGGCAGTAACCGAGCAGGCGCAGGTACAAAGAGGGCAGCTCACTCCTGCTCTTAGGAGATCCAGTCAGATCTGCCCTGTACAGCCATGCAGGCTGTGCACTGCACAACTCCAGGGACATTAGTCACACAGATGCAATGTGAGTGTGCTCCCCCATCACGCAACATCTGGACATAACTAACAGAGCATGGTGAATACATGCTGAATTGCTTTCAGTAAGGCTGTGAACTAGGCCTGGGGACAAGAATGAATTTTACATGGAAAGAATTTCCTGTAGCAGGAACAGAGGGGATAACAACAGCAATAAATAACAATAAGAAGCTACCACTTCTTGAGCATGTACCACATACCAAGTGGTTGCCTGGGATGTGTCAGTTGCCCTTCACAGCAATCCTATGAGGTAGGGACTATTATTATCTTCATTTTATATTTGGGGAAACCGAGGCTCAGAGAGATCAGGTAACCTGCTGAAGGCCGAACAGCTGGTTAGTGATGGAGCCAAGTTCCAGGCCCCTGTATGTCAGACTCCAATGCCCAAGCCCCAAGCCACTGGGTCTGCATCCGTGAGAGCCTTCCTCTTTGTTCCTCCCACAGTACCTGAATGACAGGGCCAGAGATAATGCACCCCCATTGTGCAGATGGGGAAATCAAGGCCCAGGCAGAGGAAGAATTGACAAGCTCTGGGGGAGGTGGGAGGAGGGCAGCAGAAATTAGAGTGGTAGAACATAGGAGCCAGATCACCGCTCAGATGCATGTGTATTCATTTGTATTCATTTGTTCATTCAACACACATTTATGGCTCATGCCTGTAATCTCAGCACTTTGGGAGGCCAAAGTAGGAGGATTGCTTGAGGCCAGGAGTTGGAGATCAGTCTGGGCAACATAGCGAGACCTGGTATTGACAAAAAATTAAAATAAAAAAATTAGCCACTGCCAACTACTCAGAAGGCTGAGGCGGGAGGATTGCCTGAGCCCAGGAGTTCGAGGCTGCAGCGAGCTATGATTGTGCCACAGCCTGGGTGAAAGAGTGAGACTCCGACTCTTTTTTTTTTGAGATGGAGTCTTGTCACCAGGCTAGAGTGCAATGGCATGATCTTGGCTCACTGCAACCTCCACCTGCCGAGTTCAAGGGTTTCTCCTGCCTCAGCCTCCCGAGTAGCTGGGATTAAGGCACCTGCCACCACACCCGGCTAATTTTTTGTATTTTTAGTAGAGATGGGGTTTTTTTTTGTTTTTTTTTTTTTTTTTGTATTT